GGCCGGTCTCCAGCTGTCTGAGGCAGTGGCTGGCACGCTTGTTGAAAACATGTCACCAGAGACGGCTTGGGGCAGGGTTACTCTCCAGCTTGCCAAAGGTCAACCGGGTTTTAGACTAAAAAAAAAAGAAAAAAAAAAGAGGAACTGAGTGTGCAGGAACACAGTAAACCTAAAACATTCACCCAATCAATATTTACCCCATGTTTTAACACCTTGATCCACAGGTATAGTCATGGGAAAAACAAAGCGCACTCAGTGATTTAGCAGTTTGTTGAACCAATGACTTTATCAGCACAAGAGTTGATGTCTGTCGGTGAAGCAAGAGGCTGACATCATCATTGTCACTTGGTTATTTTGACTCGTGTGATTTTCATCGAAGTTTCACTTCTGCAGTGCTCTTTAAGGTAGCACTATGGGATTGGGCTGAAAAATCTACAGAGAAATCTGCAAAGAGGTAAAACTGAACCAAGAATAAGCTGGAGCTCACTGTAGCTGCAAATCCAACCACCATCTTTGTGCTTGAAACTTGCTTTGAAGTGTTGGTGCTGCTGACATTTTATATTAGGTTTTCTTTCAGACATTATTGTATGCAACGTCCCAACGTTGGTTTCATCTGTTCACAGCACAGAATTCCTGATTCGTTAAGATTTAACCTTGCAAACCTAATAATAACAATTTATTTTGTAGATGGATAGAAAATATGGCACTGGCATCCATCTAATGATGTCTGTTGCTATTTAAAGTGATTGAAAATAGGTTGTGTAATTATAGAAAAAAGTCACAAGTTCCTAAATTCAAAACTTTTTTCTATAGATCATATGTATCTTACTTTTCTTTTTAATAAAACCAAATATTATGTGCCTTATTCTCATGGGAAATTTCTTGTGCACCATAAAGCTTTACTGAGATGCTTCGCATCACACAATTGTTTGATATAGAAAAAGAATATCAAAACATAGATAAAAAGATTGTGAGATAAAGACTGCAAGAATCCTAAAAGATTGAAGGCAGATGAAAAAAGAAAACATATTAAAACTTCAACAGTTTGTTCCAAAATCAGATTGTTTACTTATTCAATGGAGGAATAGATGGAAAAAGATATCAAAGCTTGAGGCAGTTCGTTTCAGCATTGTCTATGTGAAAGTAACAAGATGAATTCAAAGGATAAAGTATGGAAAAAAAACCCATCTGAGAACAGAAAATAAATAATCTGCACAAAACTCTTGGTGTTTATAATCATTATGTTTGTGGCTATTTTAGCCTGCGCCAAACTGCCTGGTAATATCTAATCAGTACTGCAGTGTGAATTATTCACGTAACATTTTATCTGTCTCAGCAAAGTACAAAAGGATCTGCAGCCAATATTTGTGGAAACTCTATTAATAATATGCGCAAATATTTTATATATCTCACTTTAAGATAGTGATGGTAGCTGCCACAATCACTTTTTAAAGGTATTAATCTGACACAGGTACGCCTACAGGCGGTCGTCCCTCTGCAGCAAACTTAAAATTCCTGACTCATCAGAAAATTTGATGACACATTTATTATTCTGAGCGCTCCTGCGTTAATGAGAGGGTGTATTATTGGACGTTAAATATAAGATGGCATATATGCCTGTGTGTGCAGCACTTCGCAGAAGTATTTATACATCTTGAACCTCTTTACCTTTGATCACATTACAGTCACAAACGACTTTATGTGAAGGAAGAACAAAAGATTCTTCAAAATTATGAAGAAATAAGATGCATAGTTTTATTATTTTATTCTAGAAATACATTTGTAACACCCTCCCGGCTTTCTGTGCTGCAATTACAGCTGTAAGTCTTTAGGGGTGCATTTCCACCAGTTGTAGTTTTTTCCCCTGTCTTTCTTTGCAGATGAGCTCAAGCAAACATTTTTAAAGGCAAGATTTTCAGTTGGATTTGAAATTTGAATTTGCATATTGTAATTACGGTTTTAAGATTAATGTTTGCATATTGGCCTAAAACTCTAATTTGCTTCTATCTGACTACCTATTTGCATGTGCTTGCTGTGTCTCCTACACAGAAAGTAACAAACTTATAGTTTTCTTCCAACCATGACTTTTTACTTGCAACTCTTTAGGAATCGCCAGATTTGTGGTGTAGTCCTACGTCTCCTCCATGAGCTATATGGATCTGTGTAAACAGCAGTTCACACCACGTTTTCGTTTCTATTTGTAAAAACTGTGAACAGAGTGCATGATTTCCCTTCTTCCTTCCTTTGTGCTGATCTAATCGCATAAAATCCACCAAAATATGTTACAGTTTGCAGGTGCAATTTGACAAATGTGTAAAGCTAAAAAGTCTGAGTACTTTTGCAACGGACTGTACATGCATACACACGCGCAGACAAAGAAACATTTAAAAGTGAGGGACTACATCACTGAAAACAACAACTTCACCAGTTTTAAATGAAGGATTTAGAGGATTTTTGCCACTAAAATGTGCATAAATTTAGTGGATTAACTTCATGGGGCTGTGGATCTGAAATCGATATACAGTCATATTCAATAAATTAGAATACTATTAAAAAGTTAATTTCTTTCAGTGACCTAATCCATGAAGAAAAACACACTATATAGATCAGTTACACACAGTCTGACATTTTCAAGCCTTTGTTTTCTGCCAGTTATGAGGATTTTCCACTCAATGCTAAAGAAAACATGACATTTAGGATTAGAATATTTTGTCAGGCCAATAAAAAAAAAATTCTAATGCAAATGTGAGCTTAATGAGAGGTTTGTTTGATATCTGCTTAAAGATTCTGCTTGCATGCTGGTGAGGTTTCTGGGACACGCACATTCTCACCACCTAAATTTAGCCCTTTAGGATCCAAAGAGTCTGCATGTGTCAGCACATCGGTGGCTGCTGATTTCTGATGCCATGTGTCAGCAGCTGTCACCTTGCCACTCCACGGTAGTCCACTCTCTGCTGCCGCCGCCGCCTTTCCAACCAGTCCAACAGCTCCGACACATTTGCATGCCTCGCCCTGCGACCTTGAGCATGTGAGCCACCGGGGATGGAGAACAGTTTTACTGAGAGCACATGGTGCTTTTTGCAAGTGTAAACAATTTATTCTCAGTCGGCCCGCCGGCTGCTCGGCTCAGCTCACAAGTCAATAGGCGCGAGATAATGTTTATTCGTGCACGCACCCGGTGGATTCCCCTGACAGACTGTGTGCCCCCCAGCAACCGGTTCCCATCTTCTCCTGCCTTTCTCCCCCCCACTCCCTTCGTCTCAGAGTCAGTGTGCATTATCACCAGAGACAAGGCTAAGCAGCGAGACAGGAACTGTGTGGTGATCTCACCTGAGTGATCCCTGTTGCGCTGGCAGGGAACCAACACCGATCCTCATCGCCTGACACTTCCCAAAACGGTCCCTTTACTAAATCTGCCAGGCAGGGAAGGCTGACAGTTCAGATAGGGAAGAAGAAGTTGGAGAGAAAAGAGGCAAAGAGGGCAGGAGGAGGTGAACACGGACAATGTCTGTATTTGAGCGAGCCAGTGGACGTCTGAGAGATGTCTTCCATTGAGCGTGCACGGGTCCTAAATGGGTTTTCAGAGAGGGAAGGAAATAAAAGAGTCTGTCATCCTGCGCTCTGCCTCTCCCTCTGTCTTCCTTCCCTATCTTCTCAGGCTCTCCAGCCACCTCTCATCCCTCTATTATTAAGGCTCGATAATGAAATGTGGAGTGTCTCATGTTGGTTCCCGGGCTCTGGCAAACTGTATTAGTGTGTAAATGGCGTGGCTGTAATGAGAAAGCACTCAGGCCAGCTGGGAGGACCGGACCTCGGCCCGTGGTGTGTGTGTGAGCGCGCGCGGCGTCTCAGCCCCTGCATCAAATGAATAACAAGAGAGGTTTCTGAGGGGCCGCAGTGGTGTTTCTGTCCTGCTCGCCAATCCCGTGATTGTTAGGCTCCAACAGAACAGAGACGCTTCCAATATCTATTTGGTCAGCAGCAAACAATTCAGCGTCAATGTCAGTGTTGCTAACCTCATTTTGGGCTTTGTTAAGGTGACGAATGCAGGCGTCGCAAAGGTTTGTCCCTTATGGACTGGCTTCATTAGACCTGTGGCTAATATCACTTAAATTTCTCCAAGGGTAGCGTTTCTGTCCTGATCATTCAGACGCACAGCAGCGCTTCTTCTTTCCCTGCAGGGTTCACCTTGATCCTGAGCTGTAATTATCCTCCGTGTCATTTGCTAATAGCTGCACAGCTTTAGGTTAAGTTGTCCATTTTTCTATATGTAGCTGTGCTTGTTCATTGCCATGTCGGAAGAGTTCTTTCCACCTGACTGGTTTCCTTCCAGTTTCGCCCTTTATTAAGCTCCATCCATCTTCACATTAAGCAGTTTTCTTGTTCTTATTCAAGAAAGTGATCCCATTAGCATGATGTTACCACCAACACCAGGGTTTTCCACTTTAATTAAGCTTCTACAACTTTTACATCTACGATTCATTTCATTTTTGATCTAATTTGACCAGAGAACCTTCTTACATGGTTTGCAGCAGATATTTACCAAGACCTTCTTCCAGCAATGACTTTCTGTACTTAAGTTTTTTTTTTGTTTTTTTTTTTTTTTCAGGTGATTAATGTAGGCATAACAAACTGATTTTTCGTCTATCCAACATAGCTTGACTTCATACAATCTGTGGCTGCATTTTACCAGTTAAATCTGTTCTTCAGAGTTTTTCAGTGTTGATCCTCAGGATATAGAGCAGTGCTTCTTTTACATCCTATCTGCTATCGAATTCACCTTGATCCTGAGCTTTAATTAGTCTCTGTGTTGCTGTCGAGCCCAAAAATCTGCACAGTTTTTGATCAAGAAGTTCACAACATGTCCATTTCTGATTTAACATCCTTAAGGCGATGTCTTTTTTTTTTGGTTCTACATTGTGTCATTGGATATTTTATGAGTTTGCAATGCACAAAAGAACAGTTCTAACATCTGGATTTTGTTTTTACTTTCTCCACAGATTTGCTGCCTAAGACAGTGGAAAGCGTCTTCATCTTCCAAGAGGCGAGCGAGGGTGAGCCAAACGCTGCTGCACCCACGTATGATGCCATTGTAGTGGAACAGTGGACCAACATTGATGTAAGTTTAGATATTTGTCTTTCACTCATTAAGTTGGGTGTTTCCTTGCCTGCAGTTGTTCATTGGGATGAGATGATCCGGCAAGTTGAGAACTTTTCCTTCCGCCTCAGCTCTTTATCACAATAGATGCCTTCATTGCCACAGATAAAACCCTGGTCCATTAATGTATCTGCACACCAATATCCTTAAACTTCTCAGCTTGAGAATCACATTTTTCACGCTTGTGAAGCTGCAGGCTTCAGTTGTTTGATTTGATTTGTAATCGTTGTTATTTATTTATTTTATCTTAGTTTTTTTTTTACTTTTGGCAGTAGTGGCCTTTGTTCATTAGTAGCTTCACAGGAATAAGGGCAGGAAGAGAAGGGAAGGACATGCAGTGAATGACTCTGGGACAGTCACTTCTACCACTGAGCCACCTGGTCCCTCTGATTTGTAATGACTGAACGGCGGTCTATTTCATAACAAAATACAATCTTCCTTTACCACTGAATTGAACTTGTTCAGAGACATTTTGCCCATCCTCCACCACCTCATCCCTGAGCCAACCTCACTCCCAGAACCCCAAAGGCAAATCTGGCAAATCTAACTTTATGGGAGATGTGTTGTGGCTGTTTGTCTTATCAGGGACAAACAAGGCCTTATCTGAAGGCCGATTAATGTCTTTTCCTCAACAAGTTCCAAGTTGGAAATTGATTTTTCATGGGAGTAGAAGGGGTAGCAGGCGTTTAAAGTCCTCTCATCTGTTCGTGTGTGTTTTTATGTTGTCTCTTGCAGCTCAGAGCGCATATGTCCGTGTCCGTCATTTGTTCGATTTTAGGTTTTGTGTCCCTATATGTGCGTGGAGATCCTATCTGGGTAATTGAATTTGGACTTTTTTGTTGCCAGTGGCTGTCCAAGTGTGAAGAGAGACTATTGTCCTTCTAAAATATGTCTCTCTCTGACTGACCACCATGGCACTGATGGCCTTGTGTGCCAATAAAAAGTCTCTTTCAGTCCTCCCCTCATCTGAGCTGAATGGTAATACTGTTACAGTTAAATGGATTTCAAGGTTTCCTCAGAAACACCAACCAGGAGTGATGCCAAACCGTCACCAGTGTTCCCGAAGATCCAATCAGCTCCTCGCTCCTGGAGGCTTTATCAGAAGCCGTTCCACTCGAGCGAGCTGCCAATTCAGATTGACACTTGCTCTTTCACAATGGCTGATCAGGGCTCCACGTCATTTCCATTATCTGCAATAACTGCCTAAAATTGATATGCAAAGCATCCTCACAGCTTCTTATTGTTTCATTTCTGTAATCATTAAGATAGAAAATAAAGGATATTAATTACAGTCAGTTTTCCTCCCTCACCGTCTTTAGTTAAATAATCTCTTCTCGTGAATGCTTCTATAGTTTCATGCAGCCAATAGTCTCACAGGTGGTTGAATGTATGAAATTCAGCGAAGAAGAGCGCATGCAATCATTCATATTGTCATTAAGTGGGAGTTTGTCATTTCCCACTCGGAGACTGTTTATCAGCGATTGCACAAACGTATTAGAATATTATTGTTTCATTCATAAACTGGTTAGAAATCATAATAGGATTAGCATTTGAAAAAGACTGAGTTGTTAATCACATCAGATCCACAGGTGCTTCAATAATTCCTGCATTTCACTGGAATATTCTAGGATCAATTTGAAAGTTGAAACATTAAACCAAAAAATAAAAAATAAAAGTCTGACACAAAAACAAAGAAAACAGAAAAAACTTGGAGGAGTTTACAATACGTTTTACTCTTTACCAACTTTAGAGAAAATGTTTAAATGCAGTGGCAGAGAAAGTCTGAACATTTATATCAATAGAGGAAAAGTGAAGCAAAAGAGAATAATTGAAAAGTTTTGTTCAAAGCTAAATAACGCATTTTGCTGTTGTTCCCTTTGGATCAACAAAAAAGAATCTAATGCCTCATGATATTTCACATTAATTGGAAATAAGTGTCAAAAACTTTGTTCGTAAGAAAGCTGGGAAGAGACATGAGTAGTTTCTATGCTGAAAAGATTAATACACAGCGTCTATCAATGGCATCGCTAAGTGAAAAGAGATGGTCAAATACAGACACACTGAGCCAGAAGTAGTTTATATGAGAAAGAGAAATAAAGACAGCACACAAGGTTAATCTATACATCAATAATCCAGTCCAGGAAATAAAGGAAACTAAAAAACAAAACGTACCTTTTATGGGAAGGCTAAACAAAGAAAGTACACAAAGTTTGTAAGCAATAGGTCAGTCAAGGACAAGCAGCTAAACCCAGAAGCACTCAACTAGGAGTAATTTCACTGAAATTGAGAATCACGGGGGGTACATAACATTATTTGCAGCAACAGCTGCCTCACTGCCTATAACTAGGAAAAAGAGGCATCTAAACTCAGAAGCACTTTTCTGGAATTGTGTTGTATAGCAAAGAAAAAAAAAAAACAGACTTTGCAAAGTAAATGACAACAAAGGTTTGGCATGAGCCTCCATTAAGATGACAACAAAGCTAAACACAAATGCACAGAGACCCACTTTCCCCAAAAATAGAAAAAAACAAAAAGCACACAAGGTTCATGGTTAGAAATGGATCAGTATGTCCTGTAAAGATAAGCGACTAAACACAGAATCCCTAGTCGAGGCAAAGCTTTTATAGAAAACAAGGCAGAGAGAAAACAGAGTTAATGGCAGCAATAATTGCCAATAAGACGTGAATGGAGTATGGCAAGAGAAAATACCATGAATGAAGAAAAGTCAGTTGCAAAACAATGCTCAAAGTCACCAGGTGCTTTTTATTTTTCTCTCCATTTGAGTTTTCAAACTCTGTATTAATAGTAGATTCTGGATGTTGCATCTAGTTGTTGACATCAACACTCTATAGAGAATATCCTGCTTAACTTTGCTTCATGGAGAATTGTCACATTTATTTACAAAGCTGCAAACTGCAGCTTTACATAATTATTACAGCAGTGTTTGACAACATTTAACAAAATGCAATTAATAACAAATATGCGTCTTGAGAGTGCTGATCCCCATTGATGAGTATTTTCTTTGTTTGATAGACTGCACCAGAATAAGATGATTTTATAGTGATTCATATTTTGCAACTAATCCTTTTTCCAATTTTATTGTTGTCTTACACAAATACATCACGATGTTTGCCAACCATCCTAAACAAATCAAAACAATTGAGTTTCGGCTTTTGCAGTTATATAGAATAAACCTTGGCGATGCTACCAGAGATTTTCTGTGGGAAAAACTGCAGAAATGTATCGCCTTTTTGTCCTTAAAGTATCATGTGAAGCTGCATCATCCTAAACATGTTTTCCCTCCTTGGCATAAATGACCTGAATAGAAATCGTAGAATATAGACGGTGAAGTGTCAGAAAATGAATAACTATTCAAGAAACTCCAATTAGGACTGGCTCCTCATCTCTTGTGTCCTGTGGGAAAAATCAATACAGGAAAACAGGAGCTTCCCTGAAACTAATGTTCTCTCTCTTATCACTGAGCTTCACAGCAGCAATGACCAAACAAAATGTATTCGCCTTCAGACTTCAGCCCGGGTTGGAATGAATATGTCTGCTCACCATCAGCCGCTGCAGGGAGATTTATTTATCCAGAGAGCCTCACTGCATTAGCAGGAACGTGTTATATTTCTGTCTTTGAAGGCACAAAACATCCAAGCATGTGTTACATTTTTTGTTTTTTTTTTGTAGTGAAAACATGAACCAATATTCTGCTTTGTGTATCTGATGTGCATGGAGAGTCTGATGTTATTAACATACACAGAAGCTTCCTTTTCAACATGCTTTTTTCGTAGCATTTTTAAAAGCACCATTATCCACTTGAGTTTTGTCAGATCCAGTACGGGGCCCATTATTGGGAACACATGTTGGACCACAAGCTGGATCCGGATGTCTTAAGATGATAGAAACTTTCAGAAACAGGCTGTCCTCTGAAATATCAAATTATGGTCCAAGAAAATGTTCCTTTCTATGGTCAGAGTATTTAACAAAATGAAAAAAAAGGGTGGAAAAAAAAAATCTGTGAATCTGATGAGAATTGGGAAATTTCAAGAAAAGTCTTCCAGCTGCAGGATTACTAATGAGGACCGATGGGTTCATGTCTGAAGGGTTGAGCCCCACTGATGTCTATGTTCATCGCTGCTTCTTGAATCTATTAGAGTTCCTCTTTCACAGCACAAAATTTGGAGATGAATCATGAACGATAATTTACGGATGGTTGCATCTGGCAGTTTACTGTAATGGTGTAACATGTTGTCAAGGCATTGTAGATAAATTGCACGCCATTTCTGGAACATTTTGCATTTCATTTTATGCTTTTTTCTTCTTTTTTGCTTTTTAAGAGAAATGCCAAATGGTTTGGCTTTAGTTAAAGGACTTGGCAGGGGTCCTACCACATTTTTCTGAATTTTTGTTGTCACTGTTGCTTTCGCTGCTATTTAGGCTTTAGAGAAAAATCATCAGCGGGAATTTAACACTCAGCAGTTTTCACATATGTTGTTGCTTCTTCGAACGTCGCTATAGTGAGGGATGCTTGAACAGATACAGAAATGGCAGAAAAATGTCTTCCAGATGTCAAAGAAAGATTGCATGTTTGTGTTTTTGTAAAGTTGCTTTCCGGTATAATAGAATTTCATAGGGAGGTTCGTATAAAACAAATTCACATCTTAAGCCATTATTTAAGTCAAATTAATTTAAATAATATTCAGTCCAAAACAATGAGAAATGCAATCAAAATCACATGTGAATTTGTTCTTTTGATAAGTCGTTAAAAATCATGCTGCGCCATTAACCTCCTACTTCTTAGTGTTGTCTTCTCCACCAGTAGAAACATCTGCTTATTGATCACATGATCGGAGTGACCAGTTGCAGTTTTGGGAAAATAAATCAAAGTCAATAAAAACCAAATGCCCGTTTCTTCCTAGCGGCAAAACGTTTTAGCAAGGAAACAAGTTATTTCGAAG